CTGGACCCAGCAGCCCACAAGAGAGGCTAACAGGGAGCGTGTGGTGATGCCGAGGTAGATTTGGATCAGGGTCAGCCTGCACAAGGCCACCGTCCGCACTAAGGGAGCGCAGACGATGCCTATGCGCCCTTCCACCTCGGCGCCCACCACCACCTTGTGCGTTTCGCCGCGCGCGCGCTTGCCTGGATGCTGAATCAGGCCCACGCGCGGGTAGCCTGCATCGCAGGCGGCGAAGACCTCACGATCACGACGACAGGGGTCGTCGGGGCGAGGAGCGGAGCCATGCCACGAGAGCTTCTGAAAACCTGTATGGTCATCAATATTCAGCATCTCGACAAACGGTCCCCGCGGGAAGGGCGAGCGGTGGACAACCTGCTCGTGAGGCCGCAAGGCCCCGAAGCTGTGCAAGACGCCTTCATGTGCAGAGTTGGCAATCTCCACCGCCATGTTGTCGCCCATCGCTAGAGCATTGAGGCAAGGCGCGACGTCCACACCTTCGAGCTCGGGGCGCCAGGCTCGAAAGGCCTTGAAGCGGGATGATGGCAGACGAACGCGAAGGGCGTTACGCCTGGCGCGCGCGGGAGGAACGCGGAAAGTGTAGTAAAACTCCCGTAGGTCGTCGCAAGAAACTGCCAGCCACTCCCCAGGCGCCAGACCCAAACGGCACAGCAGGAAACCCTGGCCAAGGCGCTGGGTGCTGGACGAGATTGAGGCACAGCGGCTGTTCACGACCGTTGGGTTCAGGATCAGCCTGTCGAAGTCGCTGTCCTTCGGTACCCTGAAAGCCCCGCAGGCTTCATCCCAGGCGAGGTCCGAAGCAGGAGTCAGGTACAGGGCGCCGCAGGCATCCCACTTCTGGAGCAGGGCCCACAGCTCGGCGCGGTCCATATGGACACGTGCCCCCTTTTGGCCAGCAGGCCACTCTGACGCCGGGAGCCGCATCTCCTCTGGATTGATGAACGCTTCGCGGACTCGAGCGTCAAAGAGAAATGGAATGGGATCAAACACTGGCGAGTAATCCCACTTAATGCGAGACGCCCTGACTTTTAAATCGAAGGGCTCGACCTGGGTGGAGTCCCAAGCCGCCGCAGACGCCAGCGAACCAGGCACGGAAGGAGCGCTGGTCGGGCAGTGCCGCATGGGGGCGGGCACGGAAGAAGAGGAGGTGAAGGAGGCCTCCAAAGCTGCAACATGGGTGGCCAGGCCATGGAGCGAGACCTCAGTAGAGTCGAACTTGGCGAAGGCTCGACCTAAGTCGCTCTTGCCACCACGGGCAAGGCGAACTGCGATCCGACACAACCGTTCGATACGGGTGCGGACGCCCTCCTGGCAGGGCGAGACCGTGGCGCGGACACGAGCCTCGGCGGGAGCGAGGCTAGGATGACCCAAAGTGAGCCAGTTCAACGCAATAACAGAATACTGCGCGAGCGTCCGCGCCGCGCGCCGCAACCTCCAGCGCTCCCTGCGCCTCGCCGACAAGCCGCCAGGCGGGGGACCAAGAGGTGGAGCAGGCGGGCACGGCCAAGGATCGCGGGGAGGCGGCCCCAAAAGGCACGGGTCGTCCCTGTCCATTGCACGCATTGATGAGCGGGAGAAAGATCCAAGAGAACATCGAGCACCCATCCCAACCTGGGACAGCGCTGCCGCCCAGTGGGTGATATCAATGTTCGCGCCTGGAAACAGGCGCAGCAAGGCAGACAAGTCAGCGACAAATGGCGCGACGTTGGCAAGAGCAGCAGGGGTGCTTGAAGGAGAACAAGCACCAGCAAGAACACCAACCTCAGGGGCTGCAGGCCCCATGGGGGGAGCGCTCGACTGAGGCAGGTGACGGCCAAAATGGCCGAATGGATCCGAGGGGCGGTTCGGAGCAGAGCGAGGGGCGTGGTGGCGGAACGTACTCCTCCCTGCGGGGCCGCAACAGCATCGCTGGAGGAGCGCATTCCTACCCTCACGCCCTCGCTGCGCCCAAACACGCCTAGCAGCCGTAGCAGCGTCGGTGCAGACTGTCTGCGGCGGCGTACCCCGGCCACGCGAAGGCCCCCCCTCCAAGAAGGCGGGCGCCAAGGGCATCTTCAGTCCTTCTTGGGCACCGCCTTCGGGGCCTTGGGAGCACCCTGAGACTTGAAGGGGGGCTTTGAGACCTTGGGCTGCTTGGGCTGATGAGGTGGATGCTTGGGGAGCGCGACGGCGCGCTCGGCGTCGAGGCGCGCCCGAAATGCTTGCAGCTCCTTCATGTATTCGCCCTGCGCCGACAGCCAGCGAGGATCCACTAGGGGTGAAAACGGGGTCTGGGCCTCGCGCTCCGTGTGACGACTGGTCACGCGACACGGGGGAGGCTCCAGCCCCGTGAGGAACCAAGCGGCCTCGAGGTAGCCGCGGTCCCCCGCCAACTGGTCGATGAACATGCACTGGCAAGTCAGCAAGGTCTGGACCCTCTCGGGGTTGCCCTCCTCGCAGGCCCGCCACAGCTCGGCGCTGAGGAAGGCAAAATGCGTCAACAACTCGCGCGTCGACGGCTGAGCCCCGAGGGGGCTGTGCTCGCGAAAGTACTGATGCATGGCCATGGGGGTCACGGCGCTGACTTCCACGCCCAGAACGCGGGCCAAATTCTCCTTCATCAGTCCTCGCACGTCGGGGCCGTGCTGCATCAGCGCTTGCTGCCACTCGCGCCTCCGAGCGATTCCCCCCATCTGAGCCGATGCGTGCGCGGGGTCGCCCGAGGTCGCGGGCGGAGTTTGAGCTTGGTCGCTCAGGGTCCCCAGAAGCGGGTGGAAGGCTGGGCGATGGCCCCGCCCCTGCTGCAAGGAAAGGGACTGGTGCAGGCACTGAAGCATGAGGCTGAAGTCCGTCGGATTGGCCGCAAGGGGCGGCTCTAACCCGTCGGCGCCGCCCGCCTCGGCAAAGCCGTCGACCGCAGCGGGATGGGCTAGCCCAGGCGGCGGCGGGGGGCCCATCGGTCCGGAAGCGGACGAAGGGGCCCGAGGGACAGCAAGAGAGCGCGCCTTCTCCCACGCCGAGACCAGCGCGGAGGTGGGTCCCTTGGGGCGCGCGGAGACCCGATGTGGGGCCACGGGCGCGTGGGACAAGACGGCCTCGATCCCCGCAGGATCCAGCCCGAGGCGCGCCGCCTCGTCGCTGAAAAGCTGAGGCACCTCGGGCCGAGCGCTCCGGGCAGCCGGAGCGGGGCCCAGCGGTTCGGGTCCGCCGACCATCGTGGAGGCCGCGTGGGCTGCAAGCAAGGCGCGCATTACGGCAGCTACCTCGGCGCGGGTCATGGGAGCCCCGTCGTCCAGAGACGCCGCAGGAGCACCAGGAGCAATCGGAGCAGGACCCGCGACCCGTGGCGGCGCGGCGGCGCCAGCGCGCTTGGCGGGCGGGCCGCGCGGCGCTCCAGCGACCGCGGGGGCTCGCGCACTTGGGGCCGCGCGGACGGCTTCCCCGTCGGCCGCGAACCCCTCGGGCTCCTCCATCTCGTCGGCAGAGTGGTAGGGGGTAGCCCGATCGGCCCCTGGGAGAGGCTCTTCCCCTGCGGTAGGCGGGGCGCCGTGCAAACGAGCGTAGCCCTCGCGAAGCACCCGAACCCCCGAAGGACGCGGCCAATAGACGCGGCTGCGCACCTCGGCGAAGGGAACGATGCCTGCGTCGTCGCCGACCTCTAGAGGGTACAGCGACTCGAGCTCGAGCTCGGCAACCTCGATATCTATAACGAGGACGGATGCGGTAGAGGCGAGCGGCCGTGAAGCGGCCCCCTGGAGCTGGACGTCCACTAGCTGGAAGGGGCCTATCATCCCAGCAAAGCCATCCGCCTCGGCAGCCTCGAGCTCCGCTGTAGAGCGAAAGGCACCAGGCAGGGCCAGCAGGATGCCCCCTTCTCGAGAGGCGAGGGGGATAGCCGCCCAGCTGGTGTCGCCGTCGTCTAGGCGCCATCGTGCGTAGTCGCGCGCCGTGGGCGCAGCGAAAAGGTAGAGCTCGGGCCAAAGGGGCCCTCCGCCAACTGGTGGCAGCTCCGCCATCAGTGGGCGCCGCCGTGGACGCCGCCGCCCGCACGCTGGGCGTCTGCCCGCTCGAGCGCTTGAGGTCGAGGCGGAGCCCCGTAGGCCAGCGCTCGCGCCGCACGGCGGCCCTGCTCAGGTGAAGCAGAAACCGCGCCGCGCGGCCAGGCGGAGGGCCAGAGCCACCGCCACACGTACGGGCCCAGCAGCCCGAGGCAGCAGCCCGCGCAGGCGCTGCAGGCGGCCGTCACCCAGAGGAGGGCGGCGACCGTGCTGAGCAGCCAGGGAGAGACCCCGCCGCACAGGTCCACCGCCAGCCCGAGGCAGACGGTGGGGCAGGTGGAACCCGCCGAAGGGAGAGGGCAGGAGGCCCCCTCGCCCTCGGACGAGTCCGCCTGCAGGATGGTCCAGGCAGGAGCTGGAGGCCCCTGGTCCTGAAGCACAGAGAGGGGGGCAGCCACGAGCCGCTCGTAGAGCGCGGCCCGCAGCCCCCTGAACAAAATCTCCCCAGCGCCCTGGAGAGCCGTTTGTGCGACCGCCTGCATAAGGCGCCCGCACGCGCGGCCGACGGGGGGCACTTGGGCAGAGAAGCTGCGGAGACAGCAGGAGCTTGCTCACAGAGAATA